TTATTTTTTTTCAAATAAAGCCAAGGTAACACTCATTTTACATACAGCACACAATGAAAATGATATGAATATGACAGTGGGCAAATGAATAAAGTGCAGCATAATTTGAAATCGGGAATTTAATGTTTAAAGCATTCAATTTGCACGGACCGAAAGTCATGCAGAGAACACGTGATCATGCAGGTCACATGCACACTTCACAAGATCTCACAACTGGATTCGACTAAGTTTGCAAGGTTTGTGAAATTAAATTGTCATTAGCCATTCAAAGATTTGTTTAAATGATGTAAATGTGTATTTGCTGAATGCTGATGGCAAACGAGAAAGTATTATAATGTTTGCCTTTCTATTGCTAATAATATAAAAGCAATCGTTATAATACTTTTTGTATACATTTTAATTCCTTTGTTTAACAGTTCTGATTATTAGACATTATTAGACTTCTATCCGTATTTAGACAGAACTGTTGACGACGACAGCGAACAAGAGGGAGAATGTGAGCACTGTGTGCTCAGGCGCTGCCGCTCTCAGCGCCATCAAAATAAAAGTTTGGTGCTCCGTCAAAATAAAAGTCCCGCCTCGAACGCATCGGCCGATACCGATATTTGAAAAATGCCAAATATCGGCCGATATATCGGCCTTGGCGATATATCGGTCGACCACTACCATCCATCCATCCACACACTGATCCGCCCTAACTTTCCTCGATGCACTGATAAGAGTTCATGAGCACAGTAGTGATGTCTGATTCATAGATTACTTGTTCTTTTGAGTTCAGTCTTTTCAATGAATCAGTTGATCCAGTTCACAAAGCCGGTCTGAATGATTCATTCATGAGTCAATTGGTCTCTTAGTTCCAGCTAGATCAGAACTGATTTTGATGCATTATTTAAACACAGACTTTGCACGCAGGTTTCCAGAGCAGGTTTCCATCTGCTCACATTCTAGCACGGCGTTCCTCGTCCCGGGGTTAAAGACACCACCTGCATTATTTATCTTCTCGGTAACCTGTCTCATTGCAGGAGTTTCAGTGCTAGTGCGAACACTTGGCAGGACCTCCATGCAGAACAGGCCAAACTGGGATCTTGAAACATGTTATTCCCTACTGAGTGAAACCACAGAATTGTTGGTGATTTTAAAATGTTATTTACATTTTAATATTGAAGTGATTTTCATGTATTTTCATGCACTTTTTATTGGGTTAATAACTTTCCTAGAGATGCTGTCTTTGATTGTACAGTACTGTGTTCAATTTGAATGTGGGATGTGGGCTATTCCTACTTTGATATGCATACAGAAACAGAATTGATGTTGTTTAATGATCAACAAAGTAATAAGAACAATTTACAGAGGAAACATAATGCCATGCGGTGCTAGAATTTGTTGAGAGAGGATAGCTTGCACATCTTTTTATGCACATACTAAACAGGTTTTATTACATTCAAGTTTAAACTTTTACTGTAAACAATGATATTATCAACAAGTTGATATGTTCAAATGTTTTTCCATTACTTTAACTGATCAAAAATAAAAGTTCACCAATTTCAAGATTCAATTTCAATTTTAAGTTAGTGTAATATAATTTAAGTTTAAATTACTTGTACAGTCAGTTTTATTATGCTCAAAATTTTATGGCAGCTTAATTTGTTGTTTGACTAAAATGACTTGAATCAGATCTGATATCTCTGACTTCAGACTATATACTTCCATTGTGCTCGGAAAATGATGTATCGGAAACAGAATTGCTACATTTTGCTGTTCTCAAGTTTTCAACAAAAATAGCAATATTTAGCAGAGTAAAAATTCTGCCACACACTGCTGAAATTTGATCAGAGAGGATCATTTACTGTGAATTACACATCTGTCTATGCAAACACTTGCTAAACATTTGGTAGGTTTTTTTAAATAATTGTTATTATTTTTATATATATTTTTTAATTTGTTCTTGTTTGTTATTATAAAGCTACTAAAATACTTTTTATTGCTTAATGTGTTGTTTGACTAAAATGACTCAAAATGATTGTCTTTTAAGCCTTTACCCTCTAAATATCATTAAATACGTAAATATTGAGATATATTGTACAGAGCCATGCAGGAAAAAAATAGTATAGGCTAAATCGTGTGCACGATTTACTATTTCGTTCCCTCGATTTATAAATTGTGCGCACGGTTTACTATTTCATTCCCTCGATTTATAAATTGTGCGCACGGTTTACTATTTTCTTCCCTCGATTTATAAATTGTGCGCACGATTTACTATTTTGTTCCCTCGATTTATAAATTGTGCGCACGGTTTACTATTTCGTTCCCTCGATTTATAAATTGTGCGCACGGTTTACTATTTTGTTCCCTCAATTTATAAATTGTGCGCACGATTTACTATTTTGTTCCCTCGATTTATAAATTGTGTGCACGATTTACTATTTCGTTCCCTCGATTTATAAATTGTGTGCACAATTTATAAATCGAGGGAACGAAATAGTAATCGTGTGTACGTTTTAGTACATCGAGGGAACGAATTAGTAAATCGTGCGCACGATTTATGTATTTTTTCTTGCATGTCATGTGCGGGGCTCCGTAATATTGAATGTCATCAAAAGGCTGAAAATTTAGATGTAATTTTTTTCGCCAAGCTCCAGGTGAAACCAAGAATTGAAGAGAAACAGCATGGCGATGACGTATAGCTCATTTGGTCAAAGCCAATGCAAACAGCATTATTGCAGTATTGCAGTGAAGATCTGTCCGTTCACTGCAGTAACGCTATGGGAATTAATTAGTATGACATATAACAGTAGTCTAACTCTTCCAGATGGCTGCTTCTAAACAGATGCTTTCCATTCAGTCATTAAACATGCATTTAGGGTTGCAGGAGCTGAATAATATTTAATGATAAAGTGGAATAACGAGCTCCCCCACACATCACTCTCATTACTATTGAAGGTTGCTCATTATCAAGGCATAATTTTTGAAAAGAGTGTTAATAATTAATCTGTCAAGCCCACGGTGAAGTGGGATGGTAAAACTTAGAGCTGGAAACAAACGAGGGCAGTAAAATCTCATATTATTAATGAAACAAATTGTTCGGACTCTAGATTCTGATTGGATAAGCCATGTTTAAATCTATAAAATGCCGATAAACACACACCTGTAACTGCATAATAAAGGATTTCTATTGTAATATATTTTAAAATGTAACTTATTCCTGTAATTCAAAGCTGAATTTTCAGCATCATTACTCCAGTCTTCAGTGTCACATGATCCTTCAGAAATCGTTCTAATCAATAAGCTGATTTCTTATTATCAATGTCGAAAACAGTTGTGCTGCTTCATATTTTTGTGCAAACTGATACTTTTTTTCAGGATTCTTTGATGAATAGAAAGTTCAAAAGAACGGCATTGATTTGAAATAGAAATTCAAATGAATAGATTTTTGTAACATTATAAATGCCTTTACTGTTACTTTTGATCAATTCAATGCATCCTGTTTTTGTCTTCATAAACTTTTATCAAAATCTAATAATTCACTTTTCAAGTTACAAAGTCCCAGCCTACATTTTTTTCTTGTTAAATATCCACTTTTAATTGCATTATGTTAATAAATGGGTTACACATTTTACTTTATGTTCTTTAATGCACATATTGTGCTTTAGTGCACATGCATGGTTCATAAATTCATAAGCATGTACTAAACTAACTCTTGTTTGTGATTTACAGAGCGAACCATAGAAGACCATGAGTCAGTAATGGAGGTTCAGTCAGGCTGGGGAATGGACTCACACTGCTGTCTGTACTTCAGGAAGAATTATGCCAAATACGAGTTCTTCAAGAAGCCTCTTGTAAGTGTGTGCGTGTGTGTATCGGGACACTTGCAGCCCTGCTAATGTATAATTGATTTGCTGAGGTTTAGCCAAACATCCAGGGTTACCTATTCAAGGTCATTAACGATTGAAACAGAGACACATAATAGGGCTCTTTAATTGTACTGGTTAAGAATTCAAGGTAATGCCTAAATAATCAAGTACAGATCACTAACTCCTGTGATTTTAAAGGTCACGGATCCTAATACCAGATTTAACAAAGGTGCTTTAAGTGGTTTCTTTTATAGTATCTGTCAAATGCTTCTAATACCTGACAGATTTAATTGAAATAGGTGAAATTGCATGTCTCTATTACAGAAATAGACAGTAAACAATAAAAATGATATGAAATTTACCTCAAAATGTTGGAGATTGTATTTATACAGTATGTGGGTCATTGCAGGACTTTTTCCCAGAGCACATGGTGTCTATATCCAGTGAAACCAATGGAATCATGAGCCACTCACAACTTATACAGGTGAGCATCTTCATCTTATGCTGTCATTATTATTAAAGGCGTACAGAGTCATTGTTTCTTCTGCTAGTTAGTTCTTTTGGACATTATACAGGCACATACACAATGTGGATATAGCATCACACATACTGTAAACAAGAAATAAACGTTTTGTTACAACGTTCACAAGCATATGTGTCATATAATCAGGGTAGGTTATATTTCTCTCTAAAAAAACAAACAAACAAAAAAAAAACGAATAGGTAAATAAATAAATACAATTTTGCTTCAAGAAAATGAGGACCATTAAGAATTTTTTCTTTTGTGGCGTATTTTTTATTTTTATTTATTTATTTTTACGTTTATGCTTATATTTATATTACAAACACTCAGTACCATAATACATTTTACTTTATTGTAATTTGTATATATATTTTTGTAAATAATTTGTATATTATTTTATTACATTTTTTAAATAAAATAACACTATTATTATTAATAATTTCTAATAGTTGCTTTAGTATCACTTTTTATTATTATTTATTATTTATTTTATTTTTTTCATTTAAGTCATTTTGTTGTTTGTTTTTGTCATCGTTATTATTATTTTTTAATAAGTCTGTGTAGTTTTTATTAATATTTATTTCAGTTTTAGTTAATTTAGTACATATGATTGCAGATGAGAAATGTTGCCTTGGCCACTTGCTGAAATATAATGTTTGTTTTTTTAATATTTTATTTCAGTTAAAGTTATTTTTTTTTCTAGTAACAACATTTTTTTTTTAATTGTTTTACATTTAATTAACTGTAATAACCCTGATCGATAGGTAAATTCAGGTTGTATTAAAAATAATAATAATGAAATGAATAATTAAAGGTAATACATTATTATTATTATTATTATTGTTGTTGTTGTTATTATTGATAGTTCCCATTGTAGTTCTCACTGTAATTGATTGAGAATTTTTTTGTTTAGGTTTATTTTTTTTTTGTAAGTTTGAGTGTGTCGTATCTGATGTTTCTCCTGCAGACCTTTCTCAGCTCCAGCTCTTGTCCTGAGATTCACGGGTTCCTTCACGCCAAAGAGCATGGCAGGAAGTCGTGGAAGAAGTTCTACTTTGTGTTAAGAAGATCAGGACTCTACTTCTCCAACAAGGGCACATCAAAGGTGGGTGGAGATAGGTCACGTTCTGCTCTCCACCTCTGATCTCAGTGCCACAGAGTCTGCAGGGATTAGCTTTAATCGTTCACAATACCACTTGCTCTTACTATTAGAATTCACCTTAAAGGTGAGCTGCGTGTCTGAAATGCGTTTTGAGTTGCGAGATTATGCTGAATATCACGGGTTCATTCAGGTGCTGAGGTTCAGACTCTTATCTGATGAGCCTCGTTACTAGATGAGATATAGTCAGATCTAACAGTGCAGCTTTATAGGGCTTAACTCAGTAAAACTGGTCGAGCCGGATTTGTGTAACACTCCTGGTATGCCAAGAGCTGAACCCTTCAAAGTCACACAACAGGTGAGCTGTGTACTCGCACACTACTGTGCCAGCCTGCTCTGCCCTCGCTCTTTTGCTTTCCCTTTTTTTGTTGTATTTGCCACAATAGAGCTTTTGTTCAGGACACAAGAGGAGCTCGCTGGTTGGTTCTATGGGCACTTTTACAAAATAAACTCTCATAAAACACTTTTCATGCTCTCATTACTATATTTATTGTGTCCACAAACACTGGGCATACTGTATATGCATCAAAGGAGAATTCTGTGAGATTTTTTTTCACCGCATTTAAGCATTTTTGGATTGAAAAGCGTGGCATCTTTGCTTTGTCTTTCTCAGGCAAGTTTCATAGCTGGCGTTTTATGTATCTTAAATGCATATGGTAGTTTTCAAAATGTAAGTTATGCTGGCTCATATTGATGTGGATACAGCATCACACAAAAATAAGAATAATAACAATAAATTATATTAAAATACTAGAAAATGCTTCAAGAAAATAAGGACCATTAAGATTTTTTCTATTGTGTTTTCTGTTATAATTTATGTATAATTGTTGTTAAATGTTAAATTAATTGTTACCCTGGACCACAAAACCAGTCATAAGGGTCTTTTTTTCATTTCAAGCTTTCCATTGATGTATGGTTTGTTAGGATAGAACAATATTTGGTCGAGATACAACAATTTGAAAATCTGGAATCTGAGGGTGCAAAAAAATCTAAATATTGAGAAAATCGCCTTTAAAGTTGTCCAAATGAAGTTCTTAGCAATGCATATTACTAATCAAAAATTAAGAAAATAAGGATTTTTTTTCTATTGTATTTTCTATTATAATTTATATATAATTAAAAAAATTTTAATAAAATGATATTATTAATAATTATTGTAAATGCGCACAATTATTTTCATTGCTAAATTTGGCCAAATAGCAGCTTGACATTTAATCAATTTTTTCACAAGTGAAATTTGATATTCTCTCAAGCGTTTCACTGGCACTGTCATATTAACTTAAAAAACATATTAGAAACAAAACTGTCGGTCATGATGGAAATGACGTAACAACTGGGACAGTCATAATTGGTGTTAAAATGATGTATTACATTTTATTTAA